AGTTACTCCAGATGCCTCTTGGCAGGCTCTTTTCCCATCCTGCAGTGGCTGCTTGCACCCGGAGAGGTAGACGTGTTCCTTGAGCAGGGTTGTAACTGATCCTGAGCTCCTCTTCCTGCTGCCTGCTTGTTAGTTTTGGCTTGGGGCTTCTGCACAGGCGTTTGTAACCTCATGTCTCCCTGTCTCCTGGTTCTTGCTGCATTTTGTGGTGTGGAGAATGGCTCTTAGGGCTGAGCAGCAGAGCTTTGCCACAACACTCCATCGCTCTGTGGCTCACATTGTATTGGTGAGGGGTGCACTCTGCCAATGTCTGCCCCCACTCAGACTCAGTTGTGAAGCCCTCCTGGGCTCTCCCAGCCGTCATGGATGGGAAAACGCTGGAATGTTCCTATTGCACTGCCCATGGAACCCATCCCCATATGCTACTTTCCTCTTCCCTTGCTGTGTTCCAGCATCAGCAGCCGTCTCTGTGCAAGCCGGTATGGCCGGACGTGACCTTAACCTGGGCTTTATTTAGCGCCTTGATTTATAGAGGAGTTATTTTAAAAGCGTGTTTCTCTTCTGGGAGGTGTGGTGAGCCTGTGGCAGAGCGGTGGCAGTGAGCTGGAGTTCACAGGTCCTCCCGTGCTATTGACAAAGAAGGATTTGAGTCCCAAGACATGTTTTGCTCAGGGAGATGCTCTCTGGCTTGGTTGGAAAGCGCTCCTGTTTGCCTTTGTGCTGGGTGGCTGGAAAGCAGCAAGGGTGCAGCACCTCTCCTGTGAGGGGCATGTGGCAATACTGTTGGAGGCAGGGAAGCCTGGTATTTGCAGTCCCTGGAGGAGGCCGCTTTCTCCAGGAGGCTTCTGTGCCAGGCTCTGCCAGCTCTTGGGTACTGCTGTGGGCTGGCTCTAGTGGAAGTGTGCCAGGGCAGGAGTATCCTTTCCTTGGATCCTTGTTGGTTTACCTTGCTCTCCTCCTCTCCGGGCAGTGTCGCCTCATCCTGGGATGCAGAGGTTCCTCCTCATGCCTGCTGGGGGTTGTATTTCCTGCTTGAGATTAAGGGATGTGGCTTGTAGGTGGGATGGGCTCTAGACCTCTGTTTTATCAGCCTCTGGAGCGCAGGATGCTATCCCCTTCTCTTGCTGTGTCAAGCTGGTTCATAGGAGTTCCCCGTGCCCCAATCCCTAGCTCCTTCACACGTGTGGAGCCCGTAAGCTACATGTGCGAGGCTTGCCCTCTGCACTCCAGCACTAAATGGCAGGCCCACGTGGCCTCTGGCAGCCCCTGCCTTTCCTTGGGCCCCTCTGCAATCTGAGAAGTTAATTAATTACAAATAAGCAGCCCCATCCCTAGATTGGGATCTGGTTTCATGAATCCACAATCAGAGGGAAATCGGCTGCTGTCGCAGGCTCCAAGCTCTGCCGTCTTTCACCCTCTATATTTAAGGTGGCTTCTGAGGCTCTGCCGTGCTTCACCCTCTGCCTGGGCAGAACCCACCCCTGGGAGAACACCCTAGGTGGGTGGGAGAACCGAAAAGCAGTGTTGCCTCTATGTTCATCTGCTGCATCCATCCTTGTTCTGGAGCTGCCCAAACATGCTGGTGCTACAGTCATGTGCAACACGATGGGATATATGAATTTGCTCCCATGTCAGGAGCTTTTCAAGCTTTTCAAGAATTATCAGAGGTTGGTGAAAACATCTCCTCTTTCTATCAAATGGTAGGGGTTGACATGTTCTCTCTGTCCCTTCAAAGCCTGCACAGCTCTCATGGCTTTGTGGTATAGCCAGGGAGAGAAAGCCTCTGTGCTAAGGAGTGTTAGCACTTAACTCTGCAATGGCTACAGGCTATGGTTATTCTGTATTTTACTAAAGGAAGGAGAATGCAGGACTTGGTTTATTTTAACCATATAAAGGATTTTTGATTTGGTGCCAATGTTAATAATTGTCTTGTGA